CTCGAGCGGCACGTCGCACATCGTGCCGCAGTTAGCCGACTCCATAGCTCTCACGACTGCCAGCACCACCGGGCGCTGACGACCCCCTTGGAAGCGGTGGCGCCAGGTCAGACAGAACCCCGTCAGGGCGCGGTTCACCACAGCCAGCCCCGCGGGGGACGACAGAAACACGATCGAGCCGCCCACGACCTGGAGCACCGGGAGCGCATGGGCGGCCACCGCGCCAGGCAAGACGCGCCTGCCCGCGAGGCTGCCGGGCGCCTGGGAGGTGCTGGTGCCAGCTGGGCACTCCTGGGCGCGCGCGCTGCCCCCCGAGACAGCACGGCCGCGCCCCGCACGCGGGGGGGGCGCTGCCGCCGCTGGCGGGCCGACCTTCCACGCCCACCGCCGCAGGGGAGCAGGCGGCGTCCAACAGTGCCCGCACCCGCGCGCCGAACACGCGCGCCCCCCCCCCCGCTCGACGGCCCTGCCTGGCGTCGAGCTCGGCAAGCTCCGCCGCTGCCCCCGCGATGCCGCCGGCGCGCACCCGAGGCCGCGTCGGCCGCCAGCCAGAGGTGCCCCCCCCCAAACCCAGCGCGGCGCCATTGCACTCGCACAGCGTCCCGCGAGGCAAGGTCGGAGCCTTCTCCTACGAAGGTGGAGCGCCCATGCGCCCGACGAGTCTGGGGCGCCATGGCCATGCCCATCAACAGCAAGACAGCATCGATTTTCACCCCGCCCAGGGCGCGCTCTCGTAAGCCTCCAGCCGGCTTCGGGCGGCCCGAAGCCACGCGGCGTCGAACGCCCCGCACAAATCATCCACATAGCTGGTTTGGGCGGAGGTTGGCGACGTTGGATGTGGCCGTGTTTCTGGACAGGCGCCACCTCGCGCCACCACCCACTCTGCGAGGAGAAGACGGACGAGAAGGATGAGGAGGAGGACGACGATGATGAGGTGGAGGGGGAGGGGGAGGGGAAGTGGGAGGAGGAGGAGGAGGAGGAGGAGGAGGAGGAGGAGGAGGAGGAGGAGGAGGAATAGGATGATGATAATGCCGAGAGGGAGCATGAAGCAGCAGCAGGAGGGAGGGGATGATGAGGAGGAGAGCTCAAAGGCGCAGCCAGAGCTGCGCACCCCAGGTCCCAGGCAGTGCCCAAGGGGATCACCACTGAGGCCGTCGCCACCTCCTCCAGGAACTGGACCGACCTGGACCGCCCAGAGCCCTCCGGGGCCTCCAAAAGCAGCCCAGAACGTCCCAAACCTCCTCGATCCTCGATCCTCCTCGATCTCCAGGACGGGGGCGGCGACCCCTCCACGCAGCGGTGACGCCCCTCGGCGCCGCCCGAAGGTCTGCTAAGGCCCCCTCCCAGCGCTCCAAACAGCGCTCGCGCTGGCACGTGTCCTCCTCCGCGCACGCGCGCCGCAGAGCATCCGCGAACGCTTCCGCCGCCGCCGTGGCGCCACGAGTCCTTCTGTGCCCGTGCTCCTCGCCCCGCCACCTCCACCTCCGCCTCCGCCTCCTTCCATCTGCTCCTCCTCCTCCTCCTCCTCCTCCTCCTCCTTCACCTCGTCCTCCTTTTGCTTCGCTGTCTCCTGATCCTCCTCACCCTTCCCTCCTTCTCCTGCTCCTCCTTCTGGGCCGATCTGCTCTCCCCGTAGGTACTCTTCCTGTTTTGCTTGTTCGTTCTCCTCCTCCTCCTCCTCCTCCTCCTCCTCCTCCTCCATCCTCCTCCTCCTTCCTCCTCTCCTCCCCTCCTGCTGCTGCTTCTCCTCTTCCTTCATGCTCATGCTCCTCTCTCCTCCTCCTCCTTCCTCCTCCTCTCCCTCGTCTCCTTCCGCAGACTGAAATACAAACGGCCTGGCCGCTGCCCAGCACCAGCACGCCCTCGCCGGGGCGGGGAAGCGTGCGCAGGCGGAGTATTCTCTGGGGGGGGGGAGGGGCCAGGACGCGGAAGAGAAGGAGGCGGAGAAGAAGGAGGAGGAGAAGGAGGAGGAGGAGGAGAAGGAGGAAGAGGAGGAAGGAGGAGGAGGAGGAGGAGCAGGAGAAGGAGGATGATGATGATGATGATGATGATGATGATGATGATGATGATGATGATGAGATGAGATGTGATGATGCTGAGATGCTGCTGCCTGATGATGATTGAGGCTGATGCTTGTGTGCTGATGATGATGAATGATGCTGCTGATGATGATGATGATGCTGATGTGCTGCTGCTGCTGCTGCTGCTGATGATGTGATGATTGATGATGATGGATGATGATGGATGATGATGATGATGATGAGGGGAGGAGGAGGAGGAGGAGGGAGGAGTGAGGAGGAGGGGAGGAGGGGAGGAAGGAGGAGGAGGAGAAAGAGGAGGAGGAGGAGTGAGGAGGGGAGGCGGAGGAGGAGGAGGAGGAGGAGGGAGGATGAGGAGGAGGTAGGAGGAGAGGAGAGAGGGAGAGGGGGACGGGATGGGGGGGGTCGTAGGAGCAGAAGCAGGAGGACGTGGAGAGCGGAAGGTGTATGACAACTTGGGAGGACTTCTCAGCCCCGCCTCGTGCCGCAGCGGGGCCAGGGCCCGCCCCATCTCAAGGCACAAGCGGGCGTTTGGCCCTGCGCGCGAGGGGGCCGGCAGGCTCAGCTGGACCTCGTCCCCCCCGCACCCTCTTCTTCCACCTCCGCGTCTTCCCGCACCAGATCCTCGTAATCCTCCCTATCCTCATGCTCCTCCTCCTCCTCCTCCTCCTCCTCCTCCTCCTCCTCCTCCTCATGCTCCTCCTCTCCTCATCCTCCTCTTGTGTGGGGGGGGGGGCGGTCGGCGTCGGTGACGGGGGCGGGTCGGGTGGGAGCGCTCTGCAGCCTGTGGTCTGATTCTCTTTGGCCCAAGGCTAAGCTCTATAAGCACGGTCTGTTTGATGATCAGAGGTGTAGAGCTTGTTCGCATGAGGCCGAGACGCTAGGCCATGCTTTCATCGAGTGTCCTGCGCTGACACAACGCCTGCTTGATGATGAGGAGACCTGTGGCCTCGACCCGAACCTGGCGGCGGCCCGTGACGTGATGTTAGAGCAGGGGCCGCACGGCGAGGGGCCACAAGATCTCGACTCGCTTGCTGTCTCGATCGGAATCCCGCGGTGGCCCAACGTTGAGGTGCCGCAGCCGCCGAGTGACCCCCCTTGCTTTTTCTGGGGGGACTGGGACTCGCCCAAAGAAATCTCGAGTGGCTGTGCTGTTTTTTACCGACGGCTCTGGATATCACAATGATGTCCCAAAGCTGCGTCGGTGTGGCTGGTCAGCCGTCATGCTGAACGCCAATGGAGTCCCCGTGCGCGCTGTGTATGGCGGGCTCGCAGGTGCACAGCTGACAGTTGGACGGGCCGAAAGGCTGGCTGGGCTGAGGGCGCTGCAGCATATAGCCCTCGGTCAAGCTGCTGGTCACTGACTTGCTCTGCTTTGTTCAGGAAGGGGAGCTCTGGCGTGACGGGGAGGTCGGACAAGTCACCTGCGCCAGTGCTCCCTACCCAGGTGTGTGGAGGCAGCTGATGCGGCTGAAGCGGGAGCCGCCGCAGATCGCCTGGGTGCCTGCCCACATGACGGAGGAGGAGGGTCTCTATCCTGCCCCTGCGGGCCCTACGCCCCCTCCCTACCTCTGGTTCGTGGGAAATCTGTGGGCGGTTGTTGTTGGCCAAGCTGGGGGCCTTGTCGATCAAGGTCCCCGAAGGGCACGCGAGATTCTACAAAGAGGGTCCCTCCGTGGCCGCCCAGTATGCTAGGTACCTTGGCTGGGCGGCCCAGCGGAGCTGCCAGCTGGAACTCTAGGCCGAAGCCGCGGAGTTCACGGCTGGCGCACAGATGGCGAAGCCCGCATAATGCAAAATAAGCTTGCTCCTCCACGAGCATGGCCTTGTGGAGGTCGGAGGGCGTTTGTTCTGCAGGAGCACCGACCGTTGGTGCCGTCCGACTGCCGCTCACACACTTCAGGCCAAGTTCCTCGAGGCTGCCGCCGTCGATCACCTGTTGCGGGCGTCCGCGGGGTCTGTGGGTGCTGGGCTGTCTGGGGTTGGAGCGTCTGGCGTGGGGGCCGTCTGTGGACGGGGCCTCGCCTGGCCTGGGCCCTGTGCCTGGCCGTGAGGGCGATGCTGGGGCCCCTGGCGGTGCGGCCTCGGGCTCTGGGGAGCTTGAAGCTGGCCTGCCGAAATTCACAACGCATGGGGGGCACGCCGTTACCGCCACGGGTGCGGTCGTCTGGTGTCGGCGGTGCGGGGCCTACGGGTCCGTCATGGTAGGGAACGCGTTTGCCCCCCCCCCCCCCCCCCCTGCCCTGACCCCCAAGACTTGGCCCCCTGCTGGGCCCTTTGCCGCTTGCTGGGGGGCAAGCACCCAAGAGACGAGAGACGAGACGAGACGCGCGAGTCCGCCGGCCGGCGGGCCGGCAGGCCCCTTAGGGGCGGCGCGGGCGGGCCGGAGCCCGGTCATAGGCGCATGAACTTCAAGAAAATGCTCTCGAGGTCCGCCCAGGACTTGACGTGTGTAGCACTCAGTAACCATGTGCCGGGTGCGCTCCCCACCAAATCGCTCTGTAAGAATTCTGTGATATCGTCACTCCACCGTTTTCGCTGTCCACCCTGTCGGCGTTGTGCTGCCCGAAGGTCATGGATATCAGGCTCCCATGCCGCTGCCAGTCGGGCCCAAGAGTGGTGTGGTTGTGTGGCAACTCGCCCAGCCCATCTCCATTTACGCTTGTGATAAATCGTCACCCATTCCTCCACCTGTGCGCGCGTCGCAAGGTCTGAGGCGGTGTGGGTTGCCCTGCGGATGAAATGGTCCCAGGGTTCAATGTCGGATTCGTCGTCGACGTCGTCAAAGTCTAGATGCCGTTTGACGTCGGAACTGCTGTCGTCGTTTGTGCTGTCGTCGTGCTGGTTAGTATCAGGGTTGAATGTGCTTTCGGCGGTGCTGGTGTGGGGTGGTCTCTGTCGGCGTCTCGAGGTATTGACAATGAGTCGTAGCATGCGTTGTTGGGTGCGTCGGAGTGTCAGAAGCATGTCTTTGGTGAGAGTCCACGTTGCGCAGCCGTACGTGACAGTTGGCGTCGCTGTCCCGCTGAAGAGCCTGAGTCTGCTGTGAAGCGGGTACCGGTTGTTGGTGAGCTCGTTGCGGAACTGGTTGAATTTGCGCCATCCCATTGCAAGTCTGTTGGTGAGCTCGGCGCGGTGGAAGTCGTGCAGCGTCAGCTTGCGGCCCAGGTATTTGGTGCTTTCCTCGGCGCAGAGGATTTCGACCTTGTCGTCGTCGATGTCCACGTGTGTAATGCATCGCCCCTGTCGCCTGCTCACATTTGTGAGGATGTTCGTTTTGCCGGGGTGCAGTGTAAGTCCACACTTCGCAGCTTCGTGTTTGAGGCCCCGCAAGATACACTTGAATTGTCGTAGATTGGGTGCTGAGAGAAGTACGTCGTCAGCAAATCTCAAATTGGTCAAGCGCGTCGTCTGGGCACTTCCCAATTGTATGCCGAAGCCCTTTCGTGCCCAAGTTGGTTTGATGTTCCGGAAGATTTGCTCGAGTAGCGCGTTGAACAAATATGAGCTCAGCGGGTCCCCTTGCTTGACGCCGCGCTCAATGTTGAATTGTCTGCTTCTGAAGTCGGTCTTTACCGTGGCTCTTTGATCGCTGTAGAAATTTTGCAGCAAGGTGATGTAGGGTTCTGGCACATCTTGTTTCCTCAGGGCTTCCCACAAACACAGATGGTCGACGCAGTCGAAAGCCTTCTTGAAATCGATAGCAGCTGTCCAGGCTGGGAGCTGCCATTCGTAGGACTGCTCGCAAAGACTAGTTGCAGTGAAGAGGTGATCCTCTGTGCTTAGGCCCTTGCGGAAGCCAGCTTGGTCAGGCGATTGCTGTGCGTCGAAGAGTGTGTCAAGTCGGTTGCAAAGCAGTCGGGACATGAGTTAGTATAGTAGTGGTATGATGGCGATGGGTCTGTAGTTGCTTGGTAATTGCGGGTCTCCGGACTTATGGATTACGCTGATGGTGGTGTGTCTCCACTGTTCCGGCGGTGTCTGCTCAAGTGCTATAATGTCGTTGAAAAGCACCAACAAATGCTTCACGATCGTGTCCCCCCCTGCTTTCAGCAGCTCTGCGGCGAGCCCAGCCGTGTCTTTGCACTTACCGTTTTTGAGATGCTTCACTGCTTGGCGCAACTCCTCGTAGGTGAATGGTGGAATACTCTGTCGAGGTCGCTTTGCTGATTCTTCTTGGGCGTCTGGGGAGCTGTTGGGCGTAGGCAAATTGGTGCTTTCAGGGCGCCGGTACAGCTTCTCATAGAAATCCGCGAAGACGTCTGCAATTCCCTGTCGGTCCGTCTCGTCGGAGCCCTTTGCTGTTGTCATGGCCGGTATGAGCTCCTTCTTCTTGCTGGACTTAATCCCAGAGATCATGTTCAGGCCGCGGAAACTAACGATGATGTCGTTCAGGATTGCCTGCCGTTGAGCCCTTTTGATGTCCTGGTGCGCACGTAGAATGCGTTTGCTGAGAGCTGTTCGGGTGGTTGTGTCGACGTACGGTGTGTTTCTGCGTTGCGTAATAAGTGCGTGCAGCTGTTGCTTTGCCACGTCGTCGTTGCTAGCTGCGTTTTGTTGAAGATGTTGTTGCTGGTCTTGTTGTTGCTGGTAGTCTCTCTGGGCTGCTACTAGTGCTTGTTCGGTGTGTGCAACGGTGTCTCGGGGACCACTTGGCGGGATGATGGTAGTGAGGTGTCTCTTCAGATGGTGCTGGAAGTCGGGGTCGTTCGGTCGGGGAGGCTCTCGGTGCGTGCGAGTCTGTCGTCGTTTTCGTCGTCGTGCTCGTGGTGTCGCGTCGTCCAGTGCTAGTCGGAGGTGCACGGCTTGGTGGTCGGAGCCGAGGTCGGGGCACGTCGTTGCGAACGAATCCAGGACCAAATGCCGGGCCTGCTGATCCATCATAATGTAGTCGATCTGCGTTTGCTTGTGGTTGGTGCCAGCGCTCGTGTACGTGAACACGTTGTCGAAATGCTTGTAAAACATCGTGTTTGTGATTGTGAATTTGCGCACGCACGCCCACGATCGTAGCCAGGTGCCGCCCTGGTTGTACCCGCTCTGCCCGTAGTTGCCAATAGTACGCTTCTCTGCCCTGCTAGCGCTGGAATCGTCGTCGTCGTCGCTCCGTTTACCAACTCGTGCGTTGAAGTCTCCTGTGACGATGGTCGTCCGGTGCTGTTGGTGGGCATCAGCGTGTATTTCTGCAAGTACGTCGTACATACATTGCACGTGTTGGTCACTGTATCCTCCATGTGGGAAGTAAGCCGTGATGATTCGGAGCAGACGATGTGGGAAGTCGACGTCGATGTAGGCGACCCGCTCGTTAACTGCTTTGAAGCACCCAAAGCTTGGCAAGACCCTGGAAAGGGGGTCATTGACTGGGCTTCATTTCCTCTTACTCGTGTAGAGCCGTGTCTGTGAGCAGACGCTGCCTCTTTAGCTCGTTCCTCGTTCCTCCTCCTCTCCCCCCTCCTCCTCCTCCTCCTCCTCCTCCTCCTCCTCCTCCTCCTCCTCCTCCTCCTCCTCCTCCTCCTCCTCCTCCTCCTCCTCTATGCCACCCTCCGCCATCTCCACATCCTCCTCCTCCACCTCCACATCCATCATCCTCCGCCTCCTCCTGCTCCCTCTTTGCCGTCTCCTCCTCCTCCTCCTCCTCCTCCTCATCCTCCTCCTCCTCCGCCTCCTGCTCCACCGTCTCCTGTTCTCCCCCATACAGCTCCTCCATCTCCTACTCTTCCTGCTCCTCCTCTTCCTCCTCCTCCCTCCTCCTCCTCCTCCGCCATCTCCACATCCTCCTCCTCCTCCACCTCCACCTCCATCCTCCGCCTCCTCCTGCTCCCTCTGTGCCGTCACATCCTCCTCCTCCTCCTTTTCCTCCTCCTCCACTTCCTCCTCCTCCTCAGCCTCCGGCTCCACCGTCTCCTGTTCCCCCCCTCCAGCTCCTCCATCTCCTACTCTTCCTGCTCCTCCTCCTGCTCCTGCTCCTCCTCCTCTCCTCTTCCTCCTCATCCTTCTCCTCTCCTCCTCCTCTCTCTCCTCGTCCCCTCCCTCCTCTTCCTCCATTCTCCGCCATATTCACATTCTCCTCCTCCACCTCCACCTCCATCCTCCTCCGCCTCCTCCTGTCTCAATTTGCCGTCACGTCCTCCTCCTCCTCCTCCTCCTCCTCCTCCTCCTCCTCCTCCTCCTCCTCCCCCTCCTCCGCCCACCTTCTCTCTGCCTCATCTGTCCCTGGTGCTCATCTTGTTCCTGCCCTTTTTCCTCCGCCAGGAGTGGCTCATCCGCCTGCTACTGCTGCCCTTATGTCTCTTGCTTATGCTACTCCTCTTCCTGCTCCTGCTTCTGGTCCTCCTCCTCCTCCGCCTGGGTCCGCCTCCTCCTCCTTTTTCTCCTCCTCCGCCTCCTCCTTCCTCCTGGTCCGCCTTCTCCTCCTCCTCCTCCTCCTCCTCCTCCTCCTCCCCCTCCTCCTCCTCCTCATCATCCTCCTCCTCCTCCTCCTCCTAATCTCCCTCTTTGTCTGCGTCTTCAGCCTCGTCCTTCTCTCACTCCCCTTCATCATTTGTGCGTTCAGCCTCCTCATCCTCCCCCGCTCCCTTTCCCTCTCCGTTTGCTCCTCCTTCCCCTGCTCCACCTCAACCCCTCCACACCTACTCCTCCACCCCGCCTTCTCCTTCTAATCCTCCTTCCCACCCGCCTTCTCCTTTCTCCTCCTTCTCATTATCCTCCTCCTCCTCCTCCTCCTCCTCCTCCTCCTCCTCCCCTCCTCCTCTTCCTCCTTGTCTTTCTCCACTCCCCCAATCCATCCTGCTTACCCTCCTCCTTTCCCCCGAATTTCCTCATCTCTCCCGCCCTCTTCCTCCACTTGTCCCTCCTCCTTCTCCTCCACCGCTCCTTTTCTTGGTCCTTTTGGCCCTTCCACCTTTTCTCCTACTTCGCCTCCGCCGTCTCTTTCTCAATTCCCCCCTTTATCAGAATCCTCGTCCTTCTCCTCTTTTCCCTCCGCTGCCGTCCTCTCCTCATGCTCCTCTTCTCCTCCTCCTCCTCCTCCTTCTTCCCTCACCTTCCTCCCCTTCTTCCTCCCACTCCACCTTCTCATCCTCGTCCTTCTTATCCTCCTCCTCCTCCTCTTCCTCCTCCCTCCTCCTCTTCCTCCTCGTGTAGTTCCCCTCTTCGTCATTATCCTCGTCTTGCTCCTGCTCGTGCTCATTATCCACCCCAGCATCCTTCTTCGCCTCCTCGTCACCCTCCTCCGCCTCCTCCTCATTATCCCTCTCTTTCCAACTCCGTTTTCATTTTCTCACCATCATCGTTCCTCCCAGTCTTCCCCTATTCACCTTCTCTTCCTCCTCTTCCTCCTTACCCCTATCGCTCTCCACCCGACTTCCGCCACTCCCCTCCTCCTCCTCCTCCTCCTCCTCCTCCTCCTCCTCCTCCTCCTCCTCCTCCTCCTCCCCGCCACCTCCGGCTCCCCGTCCTGCTCTTCGTCCTCGTCCTCGCCCTCCTCCTCCTCCTTTTCCTCCTCCTTCTCCTCCTCCTCCTCCTCTTCCCATTCCTGCTTCCCCTCCTCCTCCACCTCCCCCTACGCACCTTGCTGTATCTCCCCTTCGCTCTTTCCCGACTCCTCCTCCACTTGGACCACTGGCAGGTTGCCGAACCCGCCCATCAGCGCCAGCGGAACGAACGCCCCGTGGTCGAGCCCCCGCTGCAGATTCGCTCTTGCCTGGATGCCCCGCGCGCGGAGGAGGGCCATGGCGCGGTCGGCAACCTCGCTGGGGGGTGGGTGGGGTGGGGAAAGGGTCGGGGGTAGGCGAGAAGAGGGAGGGGAGGGGAGGGGAGAGGAAGAAAGGGGAGGGGAGGGGAGGGGAGTCTGATTTTTGGTGCGTTTGACCCAAGACGTCTTCATACAGAAACTGTTTGCTACATGCTCTGCATCATGCTTCTACTTCACACCCCGTGCATACCTAACTGCAGACTCTGGTCCTCATGGCTTATAAGAACCGAGCGCGTAGAAAACACAAACAACAATGCGGAGCTACCGACCAAGGACCCAAAAGTGGTGTCAGACTTTGCTAACCTAGGAATACCAGTAGCTGGCCACGCCGAGCGTATCGTAGAGGCCGCCAAGCGTGAGGTACTCAAGGAACTCGTCGTTGCTGTACATCAAATAGTCGTCCTTGAGACTCACCATCGGACAGCATCAACATTGCCATGTCTTGGATCATCATGTTTAGCATACATCTTTCACGTTACCATGTGTAGTCTCATCATTTTAGCGGACATCGTAGACTTTACCAGGTGTATCAATTCATCGTAGTAAGTAATGTGCATACCGATGGCGATTCTGCCCACGATGGCTTCATCTGAATAACGTCGTTCTCGGTCAACGTGAAAGCTGGAGCGTCGATCGTCGCGACCAAACACTCGATACCTTTTGTTTCCACACGCCAGTAACCATAGATAATCAGGTCATACTATATTACAGATCGCATACTCTTAGTTAACCCATCTGCCACCATGGCTGTAGGAGGGCACCAAAAGAATCGTCGAATAGATTCTCGAAGTCTGTCTTCACGAACTGACAGTACATATAACCTTCGATGTAGATCCTGAGGAACGCCCTTCAAGCCAACGCTTAATTCAAAGAAATCCCTGCAAGCTGTCCAGTGGTGTATGGGGATCATGAGCTCGGCATTGTCCTGTATGTTGATCAGGTCCTTCATGGAACTCGGCGTTGTTAGCGGAAGTTGAATTTCGGGTGCAGATATCTCCGTCAATCGCATGGCTATTATCTGAGCCAACTCCTTGCCAACTACTCCTGCCAACGTCTCGGCACGTGATGTGCTTCCTGAGATTCGTTTAGCCTTATGTGACAGTGAAGCGATGATGTGAACGAGCTTGCTGGGCTGGCCCTGTGAGTCCTGAGCAGGTTGGTCAAGAATATACGTCGTAGGAACAACCGATATCTTGTAGTCCGAGCCGAGTAGAACCAATGCAGCATCTTGAGCATATAAACTGCCTGAGGTAGCTCCGCTGGAATCTCCCGCCGTGTCAATCACGAACGGAGGCGTCAGCCTTGGAAAGTAGATGCCAATCCCATCTGCATACTTCTTCACACGAGCCAACAATGTGTTTGCCATCTTGATATGCTTGATGGTTGCCGACTGGGTGTTCTGCTGGATAATCACCGCGTCTGCAATAGCGTACAATCTTGTCAGACATAACCACAGCAATCCCCCAAGAAGTCCTCTGAATTCTGCCAACTCCTGCCTTGTAAGAGGTGAATCGTCTTGCTGAGCTCGTGCTGTGTTGAATGGAGCTGGCTGCAACTTTTGACATAACTCGTCCTGTGACATTTCCCCAATCAGAGCTTGCCTCTGTAGGGGTCCTAGCGAAATCATATGGTTAGGTTCGGTTTGCCGCCGATTTTCGCCGCGCGCCCGGGTGCCCGGGGGTGCCCGGGTGCCTGCGGGTGCCTGGGGGTGCCTGGGCGTGCCCGGGGGTGCCGGGGGGTGCCCTGCAGCCCTATAGCTCAATAGCCCTGTATCCCTATACCCCTACAGCTCTATAGCTCTATAGCCCTATAGCCCTATAGCTCGATAGCCCTATAGCCGTATAGCCCTATACCCCTTATACCCTATAGCCCTATAACCTTGTAGCTCTATTACCCTACAGCCCAATATCCCTATAGCCCAACAGCCCTAAAAAGATTATGATTGGGTTTTTTCTCCGGTATCATTTCATGCCGAAGTCTGTCTTTTAATGCTTGACACCAACATGCATCATAGGCGGTTGCTGTCGCGTAGCTCCTCCGAAGCGCATCGAAAACTTCCCAAAAGATTCGTTCAACCATGGGATCATACTCGCATTGCCATTGTCGCCCACGTAAGAGATTGGAACTGCTCTGAATTCACCTGGTCCAGCCATCCAGATGTAGAAGCAATCATCAAATGCCGAAGGCCTGCCGCCAAGAGTCTCAGTCATAAACATATGCATGGCCACTTGATACGCCAGTGGTGCATCATCCGATCCATGCATTGCCTTCAAACATTCGAGCGCCCACAGATGCGTGCAGCCTGACTGCGCTAGCGAAAAGCTCCATCAATGTCGCAAAGGTGTCTCCATACATTGGCCGGTGGTGTCATGAATACCTGCCGCTCAGGTGACTTGATGCCGCGCTTTCTGATTATGTCATGCATCTGCTTGAAGGGTAGACCCTTTAGGAATGCTCCTGTAACGTCCCAGCTCTCAATCGGGAAGTCGTAGACGCTGCCAGAGAAATGGGCAGCTGTTGGGATAGTCGCGTTGCTGTGGGAGCCTTCGTGGACAATGGCGCACCTTGACTGTCAAGAAATCCTCGTGCACAGAGCCTGTTTTTGACGATCCACTTGAGCTCGCTGCCAACTTTGATCTGCGTCCACTTGCGAACGTATGCGCAGTCAACTGGATTTCGGGAGCATCGACCGATGGATATGGGTTTCCAGACATGAGCTTCCGCGAGCTGCTTGATCTCCTTCCTGTCTGCCTCATCCACCAGGTCGAAGTGTTCTGCGATATCCTTTGGGCCGAGCATCAACGTGTCGGAAGTCGTAGCAAAACATTCGCCAGTAGCAACGTCAATATAGAGACATAGGTCTCGCTCGAAAGGTCCAGGAAATACCGCATAGGCTTGTGCTCTCGTCCATTCTGCTGTAAGGTCGTCATCGTCGATGATGTTGCACTGCTCCGTCTCATTAAGAAAGTGTTATGCAACCAATGCGCGTCGAAGCCCCAGTGACTTGTGAAACCCCTCGCTATGTCCGCGTAGTTCTGGCATGACATTGATCTTCTTAGTGAAGTATTGCCTGTGACGAAACAGTTCTTCGGTCATTGAGCAGTAAAGGGATATCCAGTCTTGACTTCGCGATCATCACTTCCCCGCTCCGATCTGGGCCGATCGCCGTCTTGCCGAGTTGGATAGTCGATGGTCGCATCGTCATCCTTCTCCTGCTCAGGATACCGAATGGTCGAGTATAGTGATGACTCCTGCTCACGAATAGGTAAGTATGCCGAGCGCGAGCGATCATCATCACGTCCTGGCGGTAATTGGTGTTCTCCTATACTGTCAATGTCTGCCTTGTCTGGTCCATCGGTCGACCTCCATCTGTCGTCATGTTGCGGATATTCTACCGTCGCGTCTGCTTGTCCTGGTGCATTGTCCAAGGTGCGTTCGCTGTCAGTGGTGATGGGACTGTGCTGCTCTTGGTGTTCCCACTCACGGTCTGGTTCGTGTGCTTCGCGTAGTCTGCTTCTGCTGCGATCGCACTCTTGGCGTTCTGCGGCCGGGAGCACAAGTCCGCTGCTGGCAGACGCTTCCTGTCGAGAATCTGTGCCCGTGTCCTCGGATTTCACCTGTTGTCGTCGGGGCTCCGTAGGTGTTGTCGTGACTTGTCGGTTAAATACTGCGGTCTGTGTCCGCGATCTGTCCTCGTCGTGAAATCTCGGTAGAACTGATATCGACGTCTCTGATGTGTTCGGACCAGGTGATAGTGGTGGCTCCCATTCGGAGGGTCAACCGCTATCGGCGATCCTGGGACGGGGACGTTCTTCCATTGAGTCGGAGAGGCCACTCTCGACGCACTGCTGTCAGGAGGTCGAAGCAATTCATCCGGAATGTCTGCGTCCTTATCCATGGATACCGATCTCTTTCGTCGTGATTGTTGTGCTGCTTGTTCTGGTTGATCATCTGGAGGTCTAGGTGGAGTTCCGTCTGCAGCCGGTGCCAAGATAGACGATCCAGTCCTTGACATTGTCTCCAGCGTACTGTCCAGGAACTCCGAAGGTCGTTCTCCAGGTAGCGCCGATGCAAGTATTTGTGCTTGTCTCGGTACCCGACGCACTGCTGGTTGCTGAGGAGGTGCTGGAGGCTGCTGATCATTTCCTTGTTGCATTGGTACATCTTCATATCCAGGCGGCTCCCACCATTATGTTCGAGGCGTCGGCGGAACCAACTGTGCAGGTGGTGTCCACGGAACGTCACCGATCTCCTCAATAGCCGAAACGTCCGACATGTCTGGCACTCGGTCCTGGACGGCGGTCTCCTCGTACTGATCCGACACGAAGATGACGAAAGAGTACAGGTTGGAACGACAGTAGCCAAACGTAGCGTATGAGCCAGGTCCACTTGCCGCACCATGTAATTAAGCCTGTTTCGACGTAGCCACAGTAAGATGATTCCCCTAACGATTCCGTGATAGGTGCTGATGTTGTGCAACTGCGTGAGTATCTGATAGCTCTGGGAGCCGCCCTCTGCAGGAGTGATTCAGAGATTCTCGAGGCCAACTGAAATATCTCTGGTGCATTCACTTCAAAACCATTGGGTATCGCCACCTGCATTCCATTCGTGTCGTGAACCATTCCAGTAGTAACGACTGAGCCGGGCTGCTGTCCATCCACAACGTCCAGCATGTGATGCAAGGAAGAGTAGAGGTCATCACGTAGATTGTCTTGCCATTTGCCTTCTCCCAGAAGGTGTGTGGGTGGACAAGACAGGGTCACAATATATGAGCGTGCCCGATGCGGTCGCATGCGTCGCAGGGGTACGATGTAAGGCATGGACTGACGCTTGACGATGGCCACGTTCTCCTTCATGTCGGTGCCCAGCAAGTCATGTTCCTCGCCATCCTGATTGATCCTTGCGATCTAGTACCCGATATAGGTCAACAGAATTTTGTAAGGCACGAAACTTTGCCACATCCGAGAGAATCTGCACTTTGGTGTTGCTGGCTTCTG